TGAAACGGCCACCCCAGCGCACTTCGCACCCCGAAATAGTCCCGCTTCCACGCCGGGACCTTATTAGGGAGTCCGTGTAAGAGCTTGAAGCCCGGGCGAGGAGACAGGTAGTATGCCCGCCTACGCCCAGGAAGGGGACCCGCTTGTTTTTTCTGCATTAAAATAGAGGAGAAAATCTCCAGATCCAAAGGAAAGTTCTCGTCACAAAATAAGGAAATCGTCCCCACTAAATTTCTAATAGAGTTCGGGTGAAGCTGGCTGACTGTCACATCGAAGTGGTTTAGAACCTCGACGAGAAGGTTTAGAACCTCGTCACAGTCGCAGCCCCACAGCAAGCTGTTCCCAGAAAATCACGATCTCATTAAGACCGTGTTCCCAAGGGAAGCTGCCCGTAGGGATGAAGTAACCGTGCTCCCCAGGCAAGTCGTAGTAGTCTATGAGGGATTGAAGTCCCTCAGGCGTCATAGTCGAAGGGCCGAACTGATCTACAACCCGGCCACGACGGGAGGTGGACACCGACCTACCCGAAGCAGCTCGGGCTGAAGGCCCGACCCCTTCCTCAGGACCTACATCGGGCTCACTTGAACTACCGGGGGACGCAAACTGGTTCGTAGAACCTACATCAAACCCGCTTGAACAGTCTGAACCCTCCGAACTAGACATCGGGAAATGGAACGGGATTCCAAAAGCACTCACCCGGGAAGAAGACAAGTAGACCACGAAAGCTCGAACAAGGAACCTGGGACGCGAGCTGAAAAGCCTGGACGTGAACGGAAACTTAGGCGCGAGCTCAAGAGGTACAACAGTAGCGAGGATAGGCACAACAACGCACGTCTTTCCGAAACTGACGGAGCGTCGCGCACGTCCTGTCAGAGGATAGGTGTCAGCACGCACCTTCTCGAAACTAACGGGGTGTCAGCACACGTCTCCTCACAATAAAAGCGTCTGCAGCCCAACTCTCGAACGACTGCCGTCACGTCTCCCAAACGCGCGCCCTTTTTTGAAAATCAAATTAAAGCAAGCGCGCTTAGCATGGACCAAAACCCTCCTGCTACCTTACAAACTCCCCGCGCCAAGACGGAACCCTYGTCGCAGGGAGTGGGGGGCAATTGATGAAGGGGAATTTGGCCCGACCTCGCAATCACCCGACACGTGGCAAAAACAAGCAGCTTGAGACAGTAGAGCGCCCGAAGCAAGCACCGAAAGCAAGTCCAAACTCACTACTGAGCCCGAACTGCAGACCGCCCTACTAGGAGCCCGAGCTCCCCACAAAG